TCTTTAATGCATGTATTAGAAGTAAAACCCTTCTCTCGTCCATTTCTCTGTTCCCACTCCCATCCCCCAGTTCGTTTTGTCTTAGTCTATCATACTTTCTGAAGAACAAGGTGTGCCACTTCATTAATTAAGCAAATTTTGCAACTGTCAGAAAAGTCTTGGCTGAGAAAACTGTGCAGTCTATTTCTTCACGTTTAGATCTTTCCTGTATCTTCCTTTATCTTATAACCACAATGGTATCTTTTTAGGCTCTTGATATTGTTTAATTCTTCTCTTTTAGGATAATCTTGCCTCACCTTTCCCCCCCATCCTGCTGTATTGTATTTCAAATAGCCATTATGCATAGCTACACTCTCTTAAGTTGTATTAGGCAGCTCTCCCTAGTTTGAGGACTATCTAAACTAACACATCTAAACTAACTTTTAAGTGACTTACTCCACTACCATGACCTCTTATTAATCACTTACAAAGGAACCCAGGCTAATGACATTTATTACCGATCCCTTAGCTTATAGCCCCCTCTAGTGCTTTTAAAAATTCCTCACATATTTATTGAGCATCTAATGATGGCTTGGGATGTCCTTGAGTTCACCTTCTCTAGGGACCCTTTTATTTCCTTGTGCTGCAAATAACTTGACCACAAGAACTCAAGGGGAAAAGGCGGACTGTGCTATGAGCTGTCCTGCTGTGCTGAAATGGTTATTTGTTTGGTAAGCAGCACTGAGACCAGATGAAGATCCAGCCATACTTTTAAGATGGGGGCAAGGTGAGCAAAGGAGGATACTGAAGGAGTGATTACCGATGTCGTATATTATATATTGGATATCTTTATAGACATTGTATAACTTAACAGTCAAGCAGACAATCAGCATTCTTTGGCTGTCTACTAAATGATTTTCCCTGGGCCATACAGTGGTTTATAGCTTCTCATGTAATTCTCACAATATCTCCAGACATCTTGTTGCTATTTGATACACAAGGAAACAGATTCCACATGTAAATGAGATCATATAATACTTTTCTTTCTGTGCCTAGCCTGTTTTACTTGATGTCCTCCAGGTTCATCTATGTTGTCACAAATGACAGGATTTCCTTTGCTCTTAAGGCTGGATCATATTCCATTGTGTATATGAGGGGGGACCCAAAAAAACCCAGAATTATTTTTTGGAGAGTATGGGTTGTAGTATGGGTTTCTCCAGCTAAGTATTCTAGGAACCCCTCGACATCAGTGTACCAGCTAGAATTGTTGTGAAAGGTTGCATGTGGCTTCAGTGAATTTTTTTTCTTTGGAGATTCTTTCAACACGTTTGTCCATTTCATGATGGGTGGTTTGCAAGTACAACTGAGTGTTCAGCAGTTTTTTACTAAAAATGGCATGACCCTATGCCCCACCTTCTCTATGTACCTGATTTCACCCTAGCAAATTTTTTTGTTTCCCTGGTTGAAAAAAGTCCTCAAAGGGAAATGTTTTGCTGATGTAGAAGAGGTGAAACCAAAAACAGCAGAAGCATACAATCAAAATTGATAAGTTCACAAACTGTTTTGAGCAGTGGGATAGGCGTCTCAATAAGTGTATTGCATCAAACAGAGAGTACTTTGAAGGTGACTGAAGTTTAAACATCTAAGAATAAATACTCAATTTTTAATAAATAAATTATGTTTTGGGGGGGAATCCCTCCTTGTGTGTACCACACTTAAAAAATATTTTTATCTGCGGATGGACACTTAGGTTGATTCCATATCTTGGCTATTGTGAATAGTGCCACAGTGAACATAGGAGTGCAGCTATCTCTTTGATATACTGACTTAATTTCCTTTGGATATATACACAGTAGTGGCATTGCTAGATCATAGAGCATTTCTAGTTTTAAATTTTTGAGGAACTTCCATACTATTTTCCTTAATGGCTGTACTAATTTACATTCCCAATGGTCAAGACAATGAAATAGGGAAGAGGGAGAGGATAGTGTTTTCAACAAATAGTACTGGAGCAACTAGATATCACATGTAAAAGAATACATTTGTACCATTTCATATTATGCACAAAAATTAACTCAAAATTGATCAAAGATCTAAATGTAAGAGCTAAAACTATAAAATATTTAAGTATAAAACATAGGTATAAATCTCATGACTTTTGGTTGCACAACAATTTTTAAAATTTGACACCTAAAGAACAAGTATCCAAAGAAAAGATAGATAAATACTTAAGTCGATTCCATATCTTGGTTATTGTAAATAGTACTACAGTGAACATAAAAGTGTAATATCTGACATACTGACTTCATTTCCTTTGGCTATATACCCAGTACTGGGATTAGTGGATTACAGGGTAGTTCTAGTCTTCATCAAAATTAAAAACTTACATGTGGCAAAGGACACAATCAAGAAAGTGAAAAGATAATCCACAGAGTGAGAGAAAATATATATAAATCATATATCTGATAGAGATTTAGTATCCAGAATATATAAGGAGCTCTTAGAATTCAATAATAGCCGGGCTCGGTGGCTTAGCCTGTAATCTCAGCACTTTGGGAGGCTTAGGAGAGTGGATTGCCTGAGCCTGCAGGTTCGAGACCCACCAGGGCAACTTAGCGAGACCTCGTCTCTACAATAAATCAAAAACTAGCCGGGTGTGGTAGCACGTGCCTGTAGTTCCAGCTACTTGGAGGGCTGAGGTGGAAGGCTCGCCGGAGCCCAGCAGGTCGAGGCTGCAGTGACTGTGAGAATGCCACTGAATTCCAGCCTGGGTGACAGAGTGAGATTCCAACTCAAAAAAAAAAAAAAAAAGGAATGAAGTACTGGTACATGATACACCCTGAAGGAACCTCGAAAAATGGGGAGCCAATCACAAAAGCCACAGAGTGTACAATTCCATTTATATGAAATGTTCAGAATAGGCAAATCCCTAGAGACAGGAAGCAGATTAGTGATTTCCAGAAGCTGGGAAAGAGGAGAATGCGGAGTGACTGCTAACCAGTGTGGTGTTTCTTTTTTGGATGATGAAAATATCCTGAAATTTTATACTGGAGAGGATGTACAACCTTGTGACTGTACTAAAAAAAACAATGAAGTATAACCTCTAAGAGGGCAAATTGTATGGTATGCAAATTATATTTTAGTGAAAAAAATCGCTTTATTGAAAGAGTCTTATTGTCAGGATAACTTAAGTAAATAAAGTATACCAATACTGGAAGAACTTATTCACATGATGACTCCTAGTTTCAAGGGTGGGCGTGTGTTTCTGGAAAATGGGGCCCAGCTACAACTCTCTCAGTCTGGAAGAAGGGGATATGGGTTATGGAAAATAGCTAGCAATCCCCATCCTAGTGGCAAAGCTGGAATTGGGACCTAGGTCTTGGCTTGGTGTCCTTCAATTTCTTTTCACCATACCATCTGTCTCTCCAAGGAGACTGAATTCATAAGTGCAATCAAGCAGACTGCTGAGAATAGGCATATTTTAAAAACTAAAATAAGATTTGTCTGCTAACTGTGGGACTGAGTAAACTAGGAAATGACTAGGCATTTATCCCACTCTAATGTAAAGATTGCCCTCTTTAGGAAAGAATACGTGGGTGCATAAATATAGGTACAGTTTTTAAAGATAAAGGGACTGTTCCAGAGATTTTCCAGGGAACTAGGATTATACACCATCCCCTTAAGAAGAATAGTGGGCAACAGCCTTGTGAATTTTTATGAACAAAATTGTCATTCATTAGCCCCCACTGGTACCCACTTGGTTTGAGTAGACTCTGAGCCATGTTATTCTGTCTTTAGCTGAATTTTTTCACTTTTATAGGAAGACATCTGGCCTTAGTCTTCTAGTAGCTGCAAATACACTGTTTTTGTCTTCTCTTGAAGATCCAAGTCCTAGTCTAAGCCCATCCTATTCTCTGATTGAAGTCCTTCCAGCTCTGACCTTCTCTCCAGGATCTCCTTGGTGACCCATTCATGAGCCCTTCCTAGACAGTAACTTCAAACCAAAACCATCTGATATATACTGTGTCAGTAACAGCAGCAATAAGAGACTGATTTTTCAATGATGATGATAGTAATTAAGGGTCCTGAATGAATTTAGAAGGACTAAATTCACTTGTCTCATTGCAGCAGTTTACTATCTGTTCTGCTGTAACGAAGGAATTGCATTCATGAGAAATCTTATATTATCAAAGATCATGACATAAAAACAATTGTTTGACTAGGAAAAAAAGAGTTAGGGATTGAATAATATCAACTCATAATAACAATATTCTTTTTCTATAGATTTTTTTCTAATAAAAGCTGTTTTTTTTGAGTTGGAGTCTCACTCTGTCGCCCAGACTGGAGTGCAGTGGCACGCTCCCGGCCACCGCAGCCTCGACCTGCTGGGCTCTGGCGATCCTTCTGCTTCAGCCTTCCGAGTAGCTGGAACTGCAGGCACGCGCTACCACGCCTGGCTAATTTTTTGATTTATTGTAGAGATGAGGTCTGGCCAAGTTGCCTAGGCGGGTCTCGAACCCGCAGGCTCAGGTAATCCACTCACTTCAACCTCCCAACGCTCGGGTTTACAGGCTGAGCCACCGAGCCCGGCTAAAAGCTGTTTTTTAATAGCTATGAATATATTAGCAAAATCCATCACTGAAAAAACCTTGTGTTTGACTACTTATAGCTCTTGCTCTGGAATAATAGTCTTTGTTTTCCTTCATGACCTACAATATCATTAGCAAAAAACGATTTACAGCGTCCTATTCCCTTTGTCACCACTGTTATAATAAATCAAACACCAAGTCTCCCAGACAAACCCACTGTTATAGACAATGGTGTCTCTCATGTTAGGGACTTGGTTAGATCTAGTATAATAATGGTGTTCCTAATGCGAATCAAATTCTCTAGTTTATCTTATTTGCAAAAACAAACAAACAAAACAAAATAAAAAAAAATCTCAAGCCTGTAAGTTCCTCAGATCTAGATAGCCAACATCAAACAATAACAGCAGTGTATGAATGCTTTCCCTGAATCAGGTGATGCAGGCTCAGTGTGTCAAAACAGAAACTGAATTCTACCGCCGCAGTCGCAGTGAGATAGTGAATCGTGAAGGGCACACCATGGGGGCACTTTATTGGCAGTTGAATGACATCTGGCAGGCTCCTTCCTGGGCTTCTCTAGGTAAGTGTTTCAGAGTTGTTTGTGTGAGTAACAGAAAGTCATGCCTGTGGTCAAGACTGAGAAAGCACAGACCGTGAGAAGTCAGATTAGTCCAAAAGAACCATAACCAAGAGGCCATTCTACAACTATTCTGTCCCCCATCCCCTAAATAATCTTTCCATGAGCCTTAGGGGCAAACTAATGATGAGTTCTGTGCTGTGCAAAGTCACACCAGCAGGTAAGAAGGAGGTAGATTCATGCATATACAAAGGTCTCAGCCATCTGTCTTGCAAGTATTGCATAAAATTTTGGATTTATTGGCGGGCGTGGTGGCTTAAGCCTGTAATCCCAGCACTTTGGGAGGCCAAGGTGAGAGGATTACCTGAGCCTGCGGGTTCAAGACCAGCCTGGGCAACATGGTGAGACCTCGTCTCTACAATAAATCAATAAATTAGCGGGGTGTGGTAGCGCACGCCTGTAGTTCCGGCTACTTGGAAGGCTGAGGTGGAAGGATCACTGGAGCCCAGCAGGTCAATGCTGGGGTGGCCATGAGTATGCCACTATACTCCAGCCTGGGCAATGGAGTGAGACTCCAACTCAAAAAGGAAAAAAAGAATTTTAAATTTATCTAAGAGGACTTTCTAGGGCCAAAGAAGCATGAACTTAAGCATCCTTTCTTCTGTGTTGGAGAATTCAACCAAGTAGAAGATTGATCCAGTTAAGTGTTAAAGTGCCCTTTTCTCTGACTCCCTTTAAGCCCATAAATCATCTTTATTATGGCCTATTTAGCCCTTGGGGGAAGGGTAGTAGAGACTGAAATCCAAATAGTGAAGATTACCAGTTGAACCAGTTCAACCTGCAACAGATGAGATGACTGGCATGGAACTTGCAGTTTGAATTATCCCATCTATTTTGGTACATTAAAAAAAGTAAGGAACAGTTATGAGTCTTTGGCCTTCACCAAAGGTGATTTGAAGCAAAGTTCAGTTAATAGTATAAACAATAGTCTTGTTAAAAATTTGAGACAAGGCCTTAAAGTAAAAAGGCCATTTTGCTGGGTGAGGCTCTTAAACTGTTTGTGAATGCAGATCTGAAAGAGTTTGTTCCAAATGTGCTTTCATTAGTGCCAGATGGATGACTTTTTCGGTGCACTGGGTTTCTGATCAAGTCTTTCTGACCAAACTCCTTATCGGCACCAGCCAGATAAAAGAGTATTGAATAAAAATCAAGGATGAACTGGGGGGAAAATGACGATGCTGGAAAGGTAGACAGGGAGATATTGTTCAGAGACACCTAGACACTGACCTTGCCTTCTGTCTTTTGATAATGAGGTTGTGAACTTCTGAAGCTGAGTTTTAGTCAAGAAATGGAGGCCAGACTCAGTGGCTCAAGCCTGTAATCCCACACTTTGGGAGGCTGAGGCGAGAGGATTACCTGAGTCCAGGGTTTCGAGACTAGCCTGGGCAACTTGGTGAGACTTCATCCCTACACTAAATCAAAAAATGAGCCAGACATGGTGGCGCATGCCTGTAATTCCAGCTACTTGGAAGACTGAGATGGAATGATTGCCTAAGCCCAGCAGGTCAAGGTTGTGGTGGCCGTGAGCATGCCACTGCCCTCCAGCCTGGGTGACGGAGTGAGACTCCAGCTCAAAAATAAATACATGGAAGAGTTTCGTTTTTGTAAATGTTCTGGTAAATGCTTGCATGTAGATTATTTTTTATGAACTCTTCAAAAAGGGTAGGTCTGTGGGAAGAAATCTACTCAAACTCAAAGTGCTTTTTCTGTTTTCTCACTCTACAACAACTGTCAACACAGAAGACTTCTGTGATCAAATGTGTGGGGGTTTTCCCCATCCAAGGAAGCAATCGGTTCTGCAGCAAACATCAGCAGGGTGTCCTCCAAGCCCAACACTATCTACCTGGAGACAGTGTTAGATCCCACAGGGTAAGGGCTTAGTCCCACAGAACTGCCCCTCTGTTCAGGAACCGGTCACACAAGTCCAGGTCTCTAGAACTTCTGACTGACTGGCTTCAAGTTGGAGTTCCTATATCCCACTCTTTGAGTTTAGTTAATTTGATAGAGTGACTTACAGAACACAGGACACACTCACTTACATTTACCAGGTTATTACAAAAGACATTTTTAAAGATACAAGTAAACAACTGGATGAAGAGAAACACAGGTGAGGTCTGGAAGGGTCCTGAGTACAGGACCTTCTGTCCCTATGGGGCTGGGCAGTGCTGCCCTCCAGGCACATGAGTGAGTTCTTCTTCACCTTTCTATCAGCCTTCACATGTCCAGCTACTCAGAAGCTCTTCGAATCCTGTCCTCTTGAGCCTTTTATAGAGACTTCATTCGATAGCCATGACTGACAACTGTGTAGAAATGTGATTGGACAAAGAGGGTGTGATTTAACACTAGACTGCATGGGGAAACCCAGCAGGGCCTGTCTGTCTTTCCTCCAGAGTAAGGGGCAGGACCCCTTCTGAAATGAGGGTCTTATGACTCACAATCAGATTAGAGACCTGCCTTGGGCTGGTGAAAGGAAGGCAAGAGAAGTTCAGAGAGATAGATTCTTTCTCTTTTTTTTTTTTGAGTTGGAGTCTCACTGTCACCCAGACTGGAGGGCAGTGACATGCTCCCGGCCACCACAGCCTCAACCTGCTGGGCTCCGGCGATCCTTCCGCCTCAGCCTTCCAAGTAGCCAGAATTACAGGCATGCGCTACCACACCCGGCTGATTTTTTGATCTATTGTAGAGATGAGGTCTCGCTGCCCAGGCAGGTCTTGAGCCCGCGGGCTCAGGCAATCCACTCACCTCGGCCTCCCAAAGTGCTGGGATTACAGGCTGAGCCACCGAGCTCAGCCAGATTCTCTTTTCTGAGGCCTGCTTCTGAGTGCTAAAGCACCCACTATTATAACAAAAGACTACATCAAGGGCATGGTAGTTTTGAGCTGAGAGCCGTGGGTGAAAACTGATATATATAATAATATCACAGTAGGTAAGCCCAAGAACAAGAGAATGATGGCAAAGCAAGAATTTGACTGTTTTCTAAACTCTGGCAGGACTCTCCCTGGATGGAGAGGTTCACCAGCACCTTGAACTTATTCGAGAAAACAGGTACTAGAGAAGAAGCTTTAACAAATTTTATCTGCTTCTACTCTGGGCAGCCTGATAACTCTATTTAACTCTGTTTAATTGACTCTATAAATCCACTGCTTATAGTGTGTGCAGGTGGGGAGATATATGTCATCTCTTATCACCTGAAATGGTGGCACTTTAAAGGGGTCAATAACTACTTAAAATCTGTATGTTTTTATATACAGTCATGCACCACACAATGTTTTGGTCAACAACAGACTGCATATATGACAGTGGTCCCATAAGATTAAATACTGTATTTTTTCATAATTGCCTACAGCATTCTGTATAGTGACATGCTGTACAGATCTGTACACCACATGGCCTAGGTGTGTAGTAGGCTATACCATCTAGGTGTGTGTAAGTACACTCTATGATGTTCACACAATGATGAAATCACCTAATGACACATTTCTCAGAATGTGTCCCCGCTGTTAAGTGAGGTATCACAGTATTTTCTTTTTCAAAAAAATAGTCTATAGTTACAATTCTGTAAATACAAAAGTACACCTGGACATTTTGCTTCATCTGTAAACTTGGACAGTTACAGAGCTAATGGTGAAGCCAGAAATCACATAGAATTTTTAACCTGTGAGACAGAGCATTATGTTGGGAAGCAAGCTTTATTACTGATTAATAACTTAGGGTGGTGTCTTAGGCCATTTTATGTTGCCATAACAGAATACCACAGACTGGGTTATTTGTAATGAACAGAAATTCATTTGGCTCATGGTTCTGGGAAATCTGTGGTGCTGGGATCTGGTGAGGGTTCTCCTGCTGTGCCAGCCCATGGCAGAAGGCAGAAAGACAAGAGAGCTTGAGGGAGCTAGGGAGCAAGAGAGGGCAGAACTTGCTTCTGTAACAACTCACTCTTGTGATAAGAATCCTACTCTCCTGATGATAACAACATTAATTCATTCATAAGAGTGAAGCCCTCAGTCAGGTGTAGTGGCTCAAGCCTGGAATCCCAGCACTTTGGGAGGCCAAGGCGAGAGGATTGTCTGAGCCTGTGGGTTCGTGACCAGTCTGGTCAACATGGTGAGACCTCATCTCTACAATAAATCAAAAAATTAGCTGGGTGTGGTAGCGCACCCCTGTAGTTCCGGCTACTTGGAAGGCTGAGGCGGAAGGATTGTCTGAGCCCAGCAAGTCGAGGCTGCGGTAGCTGGGAGCGTGCCATTGTACTTCAGCCTGGGAGACAGAGTGAGACTGCAAATCAAAAAAAAAAAAAATGAGTGAAGTCCTCATGGCCTAAACACCTCTTAATCGTTCCTCCTCTTAATACATCACAATGGCAATTCGATTTTGACATGAGTTTTGGAGGAGACATTCAAACATAGCAGATGTATATCAGAGAGAACTTTTGCTTCAGTTTCTGTTCTCCTGAGAGTATTCTGTTTGTGTGGCCTTAACCTCTGGAACCACACATTTAAAGTCCTTCTCTGTAATGGAAACTTCACACAAGATTGTGAAAGTTACCTCAGGTCTGAGCCATCTTCCATTTATGAGAAAACTTTCCAAATTTAAGTTTGTAGTTCACTTTATAGCTTCAATAGGAAGGGGCTTTCCACAGCACAGCACATCACACTCCCCTTGTCATGGTTGTTTTATTTTATTATTATTATTTTTTATTATAAAGATGTGGGGTATAATTCAGGGTTATGTATACAAACATTGATTATGCAGGTACCCTTGTTGATGAGGTATGCCCCTCCCTCCCCTAGCAGTTTCCCTCAACTGCCAATTCCAACGCCCCCCCCGACAGTTTCCCATTACTGCCAAACGCTTTATTATAGTATTGTAATTGTTCAAGTTTCGCTTATGAGTGAGAACATATGGTACTCTGTTCTTCGTTTCTGTGATAGATCACTGAGTAT